ATCGAACAGTCTATAGTTTGTATAGTGAAATCTCCGAATAAGCCAAATTGAATCAGGACAGTGATTTAAATCACTGAATCAAATCACTGTCCCTCTGAATTGGCCGAAACCGAAGCAAATACTTGCTGCTTCGCATAGGCCTATTATGCAGCAACTCAGGAACTAGAGCAGTTGCCTACAGAATGGGAAACTCCTGCTGGAGGCTGGTTTAACTCTCATTTTCTTTATGCACATGTGACTACCTAACTAACTACCAGGTTGAGTAGCATTCAGCTTTCTTTCTGGATGTTTACTTGTAATGATTACTTGAGCATTTTATAAAAAGTTGAACAGTTCCAGCAGACCCACCTGCATTGTACAGACTAGAACATTCCTCTGAGAAGTCTGATTTCAGTTGCCGCTTTCAAAGAATGTATTGCTCCTTCTCCAGTCAGTAGTTTTGTGTTATAGCCTTGTAGTTCCTCTGATTTTCCTACAAGAACCTCAAATAAGCATTCTGTTTCTGGACGGATGGGATGTTTTATGCAGAACAAAATGTAATTTTCATCTTGACAAAGAAAACAAACTAACACTTTTAAAATATTTAATGTCCAAACACATTATTTTCATTGTTTTGGTTTGATCCCCAAACGAAAAAGCAATTATTTGTACAGATTTGTATAGATGCCTGTTAATTCAAATATTAAAATATTTTAATAATTGTTTCTTTGTTGCTGTGTTTTGCCAGAGGAATACTAGCTGAGCAGTATCCCAAATTCCTCTTTGACATGATGCCAATCATTTGGATAAAACCAAGTAAGTAAAGTTGGTCTGAAACAAATGTTTCCTTGGATTATAATGCAACATGAAATGGCAGCAATGTGTTTCTTTCTGCAATCAAAGACCAACTTTTGTCCCCCACCAAATAGCCCAAATACAAATAAAGATCTATGTATTTGACCTTGACTTCTTAACCTGCCTATTTGGTATTTATCTGGTTAGTGTCTCTTTCTCCTTTTCCCCACGAAGATTTATTTGGTCTGAACTGGAACAAGATGGAGCTAGTGAAGCAAATATATTTATGTAAATCAGTTTCACTATCTACTAATTGGATCCTTAGGCAAAACAACTGACTTGCCAGCAGAGCATGTTTTTTTGAAATCTTGACTCTGATGAGGTCAGTGGGACCTTTTAGTTGACTTAAACAGAGCCAAGATTTCCCCCATGTTTGCTCAGAATGTTGTTAGTGTCTGTGGTTGTCCAGTGTTGGCTAAACTTTTAAAATGTTGCTTCCTTCAGCTAGTTCCACCTTTCTTTGATGAGAGGCAGTACACTGTCAAAAAATGCACATGTATTTTTTTAAACAACATTCTTCACCATAACCTAGTTTCATCTGAGCTGTAATTAGCTACCAGGCAGCCCACCCTTTCTCCTAATCTGTGCCTCTTGTTGACATCGGAAGAAAGAAACCTCACTGAACTTCATTTCTGTCAGAAGAGCATGATTTAAGTCTACCCAAGTTATGCGTAAACAATCTGGACACACTGTAAATTCCCATGGAGTTATGGCCTTGGAATTCAGATGACTGTGTTTAAGTTGTGTAGCTGGCTGAATCAAATTTTCCTAGCTTTTACATGTAGAACTAGTGCATCTACTTGCTTTTAAAACTATAACTCGAGTATTTGAATCAAATGTTTTGATTATGCTGTGCCTATTTAGATTTGAATACCTCTTAAAGATTTCAACAGCAGCTAGGACCATGGAAAAACCTTTATTCCTGTTGTAAGGAAACAAAAACAAGGAAAACTGAAAACAAATAGCTAATTTTTATTTAGCTCTAAGAATAATAAACTAAAGTAAAAATTTGATGACTTCCTGCGATACACCACACCTGAAAGATTTAATATATGGTTTTGTTTCTTCTTTTTGAAGATAAAAAATCAGACATCAAGAAATCTAATGCCTACATTTGTCCACTGTACAAGACAAGTGAGCGTAAAGGAACCTTATCAACTACTGGACATTCCACTAACTTTGTCATTGCGCTGTTGCTAGACACTGATCGACCAGTCCAGCACTGGATCAAGCGAGGTGTTGCACTGCTCTGCCAGCTGGATGACTAACTTTGAGGAAATCAGATTCAAACGTCACCATATGTGTCTTTCTCTTCCTCCAGGGTACTGGAAATACAGCATGCTGTGTCAAAGGGACAGCTTTATATTTTGGCGCTCCAGTAAATTTTTTCTGAATCCTTAATATTTTTGATTAGATGAATATGTGATGTTACTGACTACTATCTTTGAAATGTATGTTGATCTGGCATATTCATTTGATACATTTTCAGCATAGGATCCTGTGTAAATGTACAGGTGTTTTTTTGTTCCTTCTTTTAAGATTGCATAATTATCTTGAGGAAAAAGTGAAAACTGATCTCCTCTATGGGAAGCTTTATATAGTACAAGAGAACGTTGAGTGTCTAGATGCACCAGCAGACTCTCAGAAATATAGCTTTCTCCATCTCTGCCATTATGCCAGGTTCCAGCAGAGGGAGACACCGGAATGTGACTACTGCACTGATTCTTACCTTTTCAGGACATAAAAAATATATTGCCTTTGGCTTAAGGAAGAAGATAATCAT